ATACACTTGAGCTGATACATGAACCACTTCCTTCTACCCAAATAAGTGTGAGGAAAGGGCTTCCCCTATTATGTTGGCAACAACTCCTTAACAATAGAGGAATAATTCTAGAAGATGAAGAACTCTTATCTGGGACCTTGATGTTTGTGGTTATTCATTAGAAGGAGTCTTGGAATGCTTTTGAATTTTTTTCAGTTCAGTGATATTAATATAAAAACAATGAGTGTGATTTCTTTTGATGGTCTTACCGCTGTCTTTGTTAGGTTCATGCTTCCACTGACCATATCATGACACCTATTTCACAAATGTTTAAGAAAAGGGAAGATTATAAAACACTTCAATATTAATTAATCCATATTTCACATCCAGCCTTTGTTTCCATGTAGGCTATCTGTCATTTCTTCAACTTCCTTAACAGTTATCTAATCATCAGATAATTAATGTAATTCTGAACAGAACTAGAGAACCAAGGTCCATTCAGAAGAAAGACGATGTGTCAGAGTCATTGATTGTATAACTCTTAATAGGGCACTGCTCAGAATCACACAGAAAGCTAGTCTTCATCAATTACATGTCTATATCAAGGTAGTCTGTGGGCATGTATATGGTGGATTATCTTATTAATTCATGCAGTTGGGCCCATTCTACTGTGGTTCTACTGGCCTTAGGTAGGTAGTCTTGAGATATGCAAGAAAGCTACATAAGCATGAGCCTGTGAGTGATCCAGAGAGTGAACCAGCAAGAACCAGTAAGCAGTGATCCTTAATGATCTCTGCTTCAGATTCCTTCCTTGAGTTCATTCATTCCCGGACTTCTTCCAATGATGGAGTACAGCCTGGATTTATGCCAATATGCCCATGCCTCCCTAAGTTATTTTTGGTCAGATTGTTTTATCACAACAACAGAAAGAAAACCAGAACAGTCACACTAAAACATCATTGGTGTAGAGATGAGGGGAGACAATGAACTCTTGTCATCCAGGACAGACTGAAGGATGAGGAATATGTTAATACATAAATATTACCAAGGGACTCACCTTGCTGGTTTTGGCAGAGACACGTCAAGAAGATCAGCAAAACTCATCATCCTAGCACTGTAAAATGATTATGATTTTGCTTTTGGCACTTGGAAGTAACCTTATGGAAAAAATAATAGCATACATCCAAGAATATGAGTTGATCAATTTACAGTTTGGAGAAAGACCTGGGAAACATACCATTAAGCAAGTGGTTGAACAAATATAGCTGAAAAGAATGGACCTGTTATAATTTCATGAGAGCTATCTGAGCCAGTCTATAAGATTTAGCTGATTTGATGTCTGGGTTCAGTTTCACTTAAACCATTAAGCAAGTGGTTGAACAAATATAGCTGAAAAGAATGGACCTGTTGAAATTTCATGAGAACTATCTGAGCCAGTCTATAAGATTTAGCTGATTTGATGCCTGGGTTCAGTTTCACTTAGGTTGTACACATAGATCAATATCACACCCTGTCCAGTATGAAGTCTGATGAATGATAAAGCCTAAGCTTGCAATTGCATGCTCACTAGCTACTGTACCAGTTACCCCTTCATCATCACTATGTGTTAAAAAAGTTATCTCACTCTTTACAAGCTTTTCTACTTCTGAGCTCCATAAAATGCCAACCTATTTCTTTTCCCTTTTTCCGAGACATTTCTGGGTTTACACCATTTTCAGCACAAACATGAAATGAATCCTGTTGTCACCAACATTTGTTCCCTAAGGTTGCTGTAACAAAACCATAGACTAGATGGCTTAAAAATGGCATTCATTGTCTTATAATTCTGGAAGTCAATTTGCAAAATCAAATTAAAAAATACAAGAACTATGGATGTATGCTTATGAATATTGTAGAATTCATAAAGGCATTGCCATACAAATATATCATGTACTTTGACAGTATTCTTCCCAGCTTCCCTTTATGCTGGCTCTAGCCATCTCTTAGCTGATGACTGTATATCTCCATAATACTCCATTTATACTTCTATCTTCATATGGCCTTTTAACTACCTGTCTATCTTCATTATCTGTTGTAGAATAATTCTAACCACTATTAGGGACATCTCAGTGATCCAAGATGCTCTCATTTTATTATCTTTTACTTAAATCTGTATGCTCCTTTTCCTAAATGAGATTACATCATAACTTCAAGGATGAAGACATATTTGTAACTAATTAAAGACCGTCACTCAACTCAGTCTATAGTCTTTCTCGCTCTTTTTCAATAGTCCTTAAACTTTGGCAACCATATACATCCTTGGATGGGTTACTAAAATACATCATTTATACATAGATAAATGTATATGTTCTAGTAAATACATGATTTTGCTTAAAATTTAGATTATTCACCATCCACCAACACAGCAGCCTATATATGAGCTGAAGTCGATTCCTACCTCATAATCTAGGTCTTTTAAAATGGCAACAGTTAACAGTGACCATGATTTTTCTTTGTAATCTGGATAATGTAGACTAACACGGAATATTGCCTCTTCTACTCAAGGTAGTACACACAATCTTGTTTGTTTATTTCAAGGTCATTTAGAGAACCATTGATCATGTTGAGCTATTCAGTTACATTGGCTACATTGCACATAGAACTACTTCAACTGCTGCTGTTATAATCTAACCTCAACTGCACTAAGCCCATCTCTGTTAGCCAGTCTTTTGCCAGTACCAGAAGGAGAAGTTGATGTATCTTCCTGTTATATCATATCTTATTAAACTCTACATGTCTGTAGACCGTCAGATTCTTCTGGGTCCTCATTCTATCATGAAGTGTACTGATCATTATTTCTATCTGTCCATCATTGGGAAGTTAGATTTCTGTTGATAAATATTATTTTCATGTTTTAAATCTATTTAATAATAATGGTAAAGAAGGAAAATCAGATAACAGAACCTTGCAAACCGACTATCCTACTTCCCTTCTGGTTGATTTCAATACTTTAATTAGGTACTGTTCAAACACATCGTTTTACTAGCAGCTGGCTTACATTTTAATTTTTTTCTTCAAAACTGCTGTGCAGGCTTTGTCACCTACCTTGTTGACATGCAGGTAAATCATGTACCTTGTTTTTTCTTCTTTCTGCCTAATAATCTTCTTATAGAAATGGGTAGAGTTAATCTGACATGATGTATGTTGTGAGCTATGAAATAGCTGTTTAGAGCAGGGAGATATATTTGCTTTAATATCACTAGCATCATGATATTCAGATTGCTTCAACTAAGAAAAATTTAATACAGGAAATAATGTTTGAATGTGGAAAGATTTTTATATCTGAGTAAAGAAGTAAAGGCATATTTGTCAAGGTCATCTTCAATGTCTTATTTTTTACTGGTCCAGTTATTAATTTAGCTTTCATATTACCACATAAGTAGAACCTTATAAGATATAGCTATTTTGTTAAAATGTTAAGGGAGATGACATTGTGGCACATTTCTGTAATCCGAAGGAGGATCAGTAGATCAGAGTCATCCTTGGCTACATAGATTGAGGTCAGTCTGGGATACATGAGACCTTGCCTAAGCAATATATAATATATATATATATTAAAATTAATTGGCCTTCTTGTATCTTCTGAATAAATTTAGAGCAAAATAATGGAAATACCTTGATGGATGAGATGGTATCTCTGTATTGGGCTTGGCAATGAATGCATTTAGTAAGAATTAAAAAGACATAGAAATTTCAGGGGAAAGACAATATCAGCTATATATGTGGAATATTCTAGGCTTAAAGCTTCGAGTCTATGCCAAGCTGGGGTTTTAAAAAGATGATGCAGTCTTTTTAAAGTGTAGTCCTCAGTTTCTCCCTCAAGGGCTGTTTAAATGTTCTTTTAGATAAGGATGTCAATCTTTCATGTAATTTTTATGGATAATACATTCAACATTGTTCCCCAAGATTTATTTTATGTTAGATGATCTACAATACCAATCTTTTTCCTACATTTATAGTTTATTTTAGTCCTCACCCCCTCTTGTAAGCATCAACATCTTCCAGGAAGTAGAAAGAAAGGTTTCAATGAGAAGTCCTTTGGTTTTCAGCATAAGAATGTCTAGATCAGGGCAGCAGAGAATGCCATCCTGGTAGTGAGATTGAGGCTTGTTGAAATGGACATCCTCTAGTTTCTCAAAACGGCTCCCAACATGACTGGTCTGGCCTCTCCATCACAGTGATAGATGTCTTGCACTGGAATCGTATGACATGCCACCCGAGTGGAGAATTGATGGTCAGTCTTTTTTCTTCTTCATTTTTTCTAGAGTGATTGATCATTCATATTTATAGGCCTATCAACAACTGGGCTTTACAAAGGTCAGTATTGATTATCTGGACCACACAGATGGCATTCTTCATTACTGTACATAAATATGACTTTCTTTTATTGGAATGGTATGGTTTTTCAAGGAAGGCAAAAAGAGAATAAACATTAATATAAGTCATAGAGTAGAAATTTCAATGAAATGGCACAGAGATGGTCACAGGATTTTGGCATCAGTAGGGTCACACTTTAGGTACTACATTTCACTCCTCCCAATGTGTGTAAGTGTGCATATGCATGTTCTCTCTCTCTCTCTCTCTCTCTCTCTCTCTCTCTCTCCTCTCATACACACTTTGTTTTATAGATGAGGAAACTATTCTAGAACTGGACATAGTTAGGCAACCTACTAGTCCTTACATTAAAAAGAAATGTAAAAGCTATGTATCAAAATGCAAAGAATGGCTTCATTTTGGTTGTAAATTATTTTAATGCTTCCTGTAAGGCACATAGAGTAATTTTGCAATAAAATGATACTAAACATACTATGAATGACAGCCAGATGGCTGAAGATGTGAAGATCCTGGCCACTGAAGAGGGAGATCACTCTTCTAAGAGACTCACTTTCGAGTGATCTTACAAGTTTAGGCTATCCCGATCTCCTCCTCTCCAGTATGGCATGTTACTTACTGATGCTGGACTTCTTGTATTTTGCACTTAGAGTTTTTGGCCACTTCAGTCTACGCTCCGAATGGCAGTTGGTGAAAGTGGACTACAAGTCTATCTTCAGCCGGCGCTGCACTAAGGAGGACTTTGAGACTTGGCACCTGCTCAATCAGGTACCAGACATTGGGATGTGCTGACCTCTAGAAACAGGAACTACTGCCAGCTGGGTTTGGTCTTCTCTGGCCTTTTATTTTTGGGGAAAGGAAAGCAGTATGTCATTTGGGCATGAGTGTATGACCATAAGGAGAAAAAAATGTACATACACAAGACCAACAGGGGTAAATGACATATATCCCAGGATTCTATGTACTTATTAGATCACTGAACTTCCTAGAATAGAAGGCATAATAACTTCGGATGTCAGCTCAATTGGCAAAGAAGTGAGTACCACAGGCAGTTAGGACGCCTCCTAGGATATGCTCATCTGCTCTTCCCTCCCACTGTGGAAAGTGAGTGCATATCCCAGGACAGTGTGGAGTAAGGTCCCCAAAGCACCAGGAAAAGGGATACTGAAAAAGGATGCAAAGTAGATGGGTCTAGTGATTGCAGATGCTTATTGTCATAGAGTGTAGGCAGACTTCTGCGTTCTACCCAAGCCTTGGGTCCTTGGATTTTATACCAACTTTCAATCTTTTTGCCCTTGTCTAACATTTAGGACTTCAGTGTAATCATTTATGAGAGAAAAAGGGGAACAGAGGGAGAGGAAGGGAGAGAGGGAAAGAGAGAGAGACAGGAGGGAGAGAGATTGTACTTATGGGGTCAACCTCTGTTTTACTGTGAAGATAATATAAACAGTAAAAACAGTATGCCAGAAGTTGGCTTCTCATGACTCTAGCTGCTAAAGCTACTTGGATAATCGCATGCTGTTCTATTGAGTCTTAAATCCTCGTCTGTAGCAGAATTTTAATATGATAAAGAGTAAGAATTATACTGGTACTTGTGGAAGATTACTTACACTGAAAACCCAGGTTAGTCTCAGCAGCCTTTCGAGACCTGACCAGAACCCTGAAAGAGGCCAAGGGCCTCTCTTCCTGGCTCTTTATCCTACCCCTCTACGTACCTGTGACCACGCCCAAACAGGCATGGTCAGTGGTACAAGTATCCAGGATCTTTCCCCACACTCCTGTTCCTCACGGAGATGGAGAAAAGACAGTATTGCATAGACATAATGGATAGAAAGGACGTAGTAGTCCTTTCATGCAATGGTAAGAGGTTAGCATGTTTGTCCTTTAAACTCCTTCATAGTTGCTGAGAAGTAAGATTGCTACATTGAATACTAAAGGCCAGTGCTTTTGTTGACCAACTGTCTTATTTCACCTGATGTGTGTTTTATTGCCTATCTCACTTATGCACTTTGTCTTTAAGGGAGAGCCTTGTGTCATGGGGGAAAGGAAAATATTCAAGAAACGCAAGCCAGGTGCTCAGTGTGCCCTTGGCAGAGATTACTCTGGGTCGGTGGTGTCAGAACCTTGTGTCTGTGCTGACTGGGACTTTGAATGGTGAGTCCTTTGAAATTTCATCTTAATTTCCAACTAGATATTTACCTGCATGTGGGTGAGGATGAAGATGGAGTTAGTTTGCCCCAGATACAGGAGGTCCATCTATGGTCCTAATTGCTGGACCAGTCAGGAAATCTGCATCACTTGAAAGTGAGAATAAGGAACAATTGTGAGGAAAACCAGTCTGTATGATAGTCCTGGGGGAGTGTGATGGACACTGATGAGGCTTAGAGAGATACTGGCCTAGGCAGTTCCCTTTATACATATCTTTCCCAATTGTACTCCTATGTGTGAATACTCTGTCATCATTTCTCTCACTTTTATAACTTATGTGTAGTATTTTTATATATTTATTTGACACAGTATAACAATTTGTGTACATATAACACTGTGAAATGATCAAATCAAGGTAATTAACATTTCTATCCTCTCAAAGGTTGGTCAATTCTTTGTGTTGGAAATCTTTGTATTCTTCCAGTTTTAGACTACAATTCTGCCTCTAATGATAATGTAAAAGTGAAACATATCTAGAATTTTGATATCTAATCTCCCCTCCATCTGACAACTCCCAAATATAAAATTTTCTCACCCCCAGCCCCAGCTCCCTTCTCCTCTAACCTACATGACATGCATCTATCTGGTTTTCTAAGAGAGGGGGCAAAATGAGTATGGCTGAAGAATCTTTTTGACTGGAAGACATTTCTGGCTCATTTTCTCCATTTTCAACTAAACACAGAGCCTTCTGAACCATTGCTGAAATGAAAGTCCCATACTGACTTCTCTTTTCCCTATCCTCAGACCCAGGCCATCAACGATCCATGTCAGGTTCCCCCCCTAAATGCACTGTCCCTGAAAGCACTTGTGTCCACCCTTACAGCTGTTATTACCATGCCAGAAGTCAACTAACTCCACCTTCACCTCCCCTGGTGTCACCCTAAAGTCCTAGATGTGTGTCTGCAGTCCTAATTACTGGACCAGGTACATTATTTTCATTCCAAATAACATCTTATTACTCTTGTCCTTATAATGCCTTAATGGATTCTCTCTCCTTTAAGGTACTACCTTGTTGATGGTGCTTTGGCTTGGCATCTTTGTCCATTTTTTAAATCAATCTTCTTTCTTTAGCAGTATTATAGCCACATTACCAACTACATTAATTAATTAATCCAGGCTCATTCCTTGGAGGAGCACTGCAGAATATAACAGTTTCTCCCATGTTTCAGCATAGATGATATCTTTTAATCTCTCATGTTTCTTCAAAATCGTTAACCTCTTAGAAATGCTGAAGACACCTTGTCTCATCTATGTACCCTGGTGCTCTCAAGCATACCCCCATACTTCTGTCCTGTTAGTATTCAATGTATGAAGTGACTATGCTATTGACTGTTTTATTATCATCTGTTAATATTATCATCTTCTCTGGTGCAGAAAAGCATAGGGCATTTATCCTTACACAGCCCCCTCCCTTCTCTCATCTCCATTTTATATTGCTATTGTCTGGAAATCATATTTCTGTTTCCTGAATTTACTTGAACTTCAACAGATAACTAAAAGTCACTTGTGTAGAGTGATCATGCGTGCTCCCCATCTGTTCTTCATTCTTAGATAACTTGGCTTCAGTGAAACTCATTAAAGTGACACGTACCAAGTGAATTTAAATTTCAATGGCAGGGTCCTTTCTATGATAGAAGTTCCTTTGAAACTAAGAATGTTTTCCCAGCTGGGAATGTTTTCTTTCTAAATTTGGAACAACAGGTAAGTGTGTAATCGTATCAAGTAGATACAGTAAACTCCTTAGAAGTATAACATGGACATTGTATTTCCTACCTTTCTCACTGCTGTGATAAAATACCTGAAAAAAGCAACTTAAAGTAAGAAGCAGTCACTAGGGCTCATGGTTTAAGAGGCTCCAGTCCATCATGGCAGCAGGAAAATGCATTGGGACTCTGTAAATTTTGAGAGGGCAAGAAGCAGAAAGCAGACAGTAGGACAGGCCAGGTTATAAAATTCTTAAAGACACCTCCTTGTGACTCAGCTCTTCTATAGAAGATACACTTCCTAAAGTTCCATTGCCTGCCAAAACACCCCTACCTGCTTAGAAACAGATGGCCAAGCCTATGAACCTATGAGGGACATTCACATTTGAACAAGAGTACCTGTGTCCTTCTCCGGACTGACTCCTTTGAGGTCCACTGCCTTTGAGTATGCCAAACTATAGATTCTGCCATGTCTCTTTGTCCCAAAGCACACTTAACCATTGTGAGGAGGACTCACAAGTAAGAAGGAAAAAAGACTACAAAATAATATTTCTCTCCTTAGCCTATTCTATTAGCATTTGCTAATCTGTATGAAAATCCCAGCACTTACATTCACAGATTTTTCTTCTGGGAAATTTTCTTAATTTCTGTGTCATTACTTCCTTGGCTGCAAAATAAAAATGCATAACACGTCTCTCAACAGGTTCTAGGGATAAATAAATGAATTAGTAAATAAATTAGGGTAGATCATTAATATAAATAAGATGATTACCTGAGCTGTCTACGACATAAGCCTACAACATATGGTAGCTGTTGCTGCTGCTGGAATTGTGAATCTGTTCCCCAGAGTTAAGTGAGCCCCACAGGATTTATACCATATAAATCAGAGCTTAAACATTTAAGTAAGCACTGTTTTCAAAGTTGTTCCTTTGGGTGTCATGCAATTATTTTAATGCTAGTGACAGCATTTAAAGTGGTCTTGAGGGCTTCTTTGGGGACTGCTATGAGAATCTAAGTAAATCCAGGTATGGTGAAGAAGAGGGGACCCTTTGTGAAGCGTTCTGTGGTTTTTACATTTGTGCTCATGGAGGTCTCACCTATCTCTATTCAAGACACTGTGACTTTAATGAGAGGAAAATGAGTACTTTGTTCATAATGTTACCTGACCATAGTTACATAAATGGTAGAGACAGAGTTGGGGTTCATATGCAAGGATGGCTACATCTTGGCTTATTGTTTCTGTGGCATCTATTGCTCAGAAAGACAAACAGGTCCTATTATTTGAGATTTCTGTTATATTTCAGAAAGAATAGGGTCTCCACATTTAGTTCCTCTAAAATTAAAATTCATCTCCAAATGACGCAGGGTGACTGCTGTAAGTGAAATTTAATATAGACTATTTCATTAACTCTAAAGTCAATTTGAAATAAAGAAATTTTTACAATTGCTAGTGGAATTATAATAGATATACGATCTCCAAGTAGACATCATAGAGTTTTCTACATAAAGTACTAGATGTTTGCATTTCTATTATAAATCATACTTTATTTTAAAAGTAAGACAGAAAATACTTGCGATTGGTGCAGGGTAACTAAAAAAGAGAGACCCAGTCTTATGACTGGTCACAATTAGAGAATGACTACAACAACAACAATCATATAACCTAAATTTGTGCTTTTACCACTTCTTCATATGGATAAAACAGCTTTTGATGGCAATTCCTGGCTTATTAACATCATTTTCATGGTAAATGCTGGAAACTCTTCTCTTTGACTGTAAGTCAATGACCATCAGCATTGGCTCAGGAGTTAGAGCATCTGATTCTTCTGAAGGGGACTGGGGTTCAGTTCCCAGAATCCACATGGTGGTTTATTAGCATCTATAACTCCAGTTCAAGGGAAACTGGTGCTCTCTTCTGGCATCCACAATCACTAGGTACATACACGGTGTATATGCATAAATTCAGGCAAACCATGCACACATACAATGAGATAAATAATTTTTTAAAAGAAAAATTAATTATGAGTTTTCATCAAACTTAGTTTGTGTTTTGGTCTTTAGTGTTAATGGTGGAAGCCAGTATTTCAGCAGAGTTTCATAACCTGAGTCCTATGGTGCCCCTTCTGGGACTTTCCATTTCATTCAGTTCTAGACATTGTCCTACAAATCCCATTTAGGTGCATCCCTGAACCAGAGCAGGCCTGCTTTTGTGGTTGCCCTGGGCAATGTGTAAGGCTCCAAGAGCAGCAGAGGGCATACAACCCACTTTAGTAAGTTTAGTGAAGTTGTAGGGTAGAAATGGTGTTTATTGTCTCCATATTGGTAGGAGCTAATGGACACACAACCTGGACTCAGAAAGAGAAGATAATTTGGCATAAAGGAAGAAGCTTACCGAATCTTAGAAGTATCTATCTGTAGAATGTAAGGTTTAGGTAAAAAGTGTAAATATCACATAAAGATTGGAGTTTCTACTTAGAGGCCTTAAAGATGCCCAGCCTCACGTTTGCTATGAAGAGATACTGAAAAGCGACCTCCACCAGGGCACAGGTGAGGCACTGGAACAAATGCCCACCCAGGAGAGAACGAAGGTTGCCAATAGTCTCAGGTGCTAGAGAGGGACTTGTTACAAAACTTTGCGGTGTGTTAGGAAGGATAGAGGCTAGTCCTCTGGGAGAGGAAGATATTTGCCAGGGCTAATACAAGAAGTGTTCCTTTTTTTTTTTCATTTACTCCTTTTGCTCACTCATCAGTAACTGTGGCTGAGTACCTATTATGTACTGGGTCTTGTAGTAGTCTTTTACATGAATAATCGTAATTTCTCATCTAGCTCTTAGAAGAATTAGGTGTTTTATAGATAGCTCCATTAACTCAAGATGATAATATTCTTATTTCTGAGGCCTTAGATTTAGAATGCCATGTTGATTTCTTCCATGTTCAGTATGGAGCGATATTCACAGGGTGAGAATAGCTCCATTAACTCAAGATGATAATATTCTTATTTCTGAGGCCTTAGACTTAGAATGCCATGGTGATTTCTTCCATGTTCAGTATGGAGCGATATTCACAGGTTACCTGGTTATGCTGCAGAAGACACAGGAAAAGGGATTTGGGGATGTCATACACATAGTTTCAAGTATACCTATGGTCCATTGAGCATTGGGTTTTATGCATATTGAACATAAGTAAGCATGTTTTCTTTCTGTAGTGGACTAGCTAAAGTATAAACAAGACAATAAACAATGTATAAATAAGAGCTACTGCACCAGAAGAAGACATAAAAGAACACAAAACGAATGCAATAAAGTAAGGAATTTTATAATCCTGTACTGAGTCCATTAGTAGCCACTAGTCACGTCTGGCTGTTTACATTAAAATTCAATCAAATTACAATGCAATTTCTTGGTTGCACTGGTTAGTGGTTACCATAATGGAACATACCTATTTGAAATATCTCCACTATAGTTCTCTTAGACAGAGATGGTTTTATCACAGGTGAAGAGATTGTCAGAACAAAGAGATCACATGTAATCTTGGATGGCTTTTCTTTTTAGGGAGTGGTAATGCAACTATCTCGTTTAATTAAATAAGCATATATTTAAGGGCATGGGCAACAGGCTGACTTAAACAGAGAAGATTTATAAGCAAGATGTCACCAAGGAGAAGGATAAGACATGTGACTCTAGTGGGGTTAGATCAAAAGAAATGATTAAGGGGTGATTGTCAGGTTTTCTGAGTAATTTTTGGCTATGATGTAGTGATCTCTTTTTGTGGCTGCATTTGGGTTCATGCCTTACTGAATGAGGATGGTAATTACTATTCTTGTTTCCTTGGGAGCTTCCACTGTGCCTCAGAAGATCCACCTTGTCCCAGGCCCATCCCAAAGCACTCGTATAATGGGATCAAAGTACTGGTCAGACATATGTCCTGGAACCTCAGCTGCTAGGTGGAAAGGAGGGAGAGAGGGGTCAGAGGCACTGTGCTGGCCTCTGCCTGGCCGGACATTCACACAGACCCTGAAAATTGTTGGGAAGAGATCTTGGCTTTCTGACTGGTCAAGAGTTTCAGAATGAACTAGAGAGATGATCTAGCTGATAGAACATGCACTGTTCTTGCAGAAGAGCTGAATTCAGTTCTAGCACCCACATTGGATGCCACCTGAAACTCCATCCAGCTTGAGGGCATCCAGTGCCTCCACAGGCACTTGCCCTCATGTATGCGCGCGCGCGCACGCACGCACACACGCACGCACACACCTGAAACTCCATCCAGCTTGAGGGCATCCAGTGCCTCCACAGGCACTTGCTCTCATGTACGCGCGCGCGCACACACACACACACACACACACACACACTTAAAATAAAATATTTTTTTTAAATTTCAGAATGTTGTTCTTAGGGAGCATGGAACATGTTCTGATGAAGTGGTCGCTCTATATGCCGGAAGTAGCTTTGTACAATGTCTGGCAAGTCCCTCATTCTCTTCCACCTGTTTCTTTACAGTCCACAAGCAGAATGCATTAGATCCAGGTTGAAAAAAACCTATGGTGACACACACGTTTTAATCTCTGAACTGTCCTTGCCATTCTTTCTTCTGAATCTGAGTCTTTTCCTTGGGCTGGGTTTGGACCTTATACATATTCTTATAAATGGACACATTTTTCCCTAAAGAGAGGGACATTCTACTGCTTTCATACTCAAGCAGCACGCAGGGGTAAATTATGTCTCGAGGTAAACTGCTTGCATGTGTGCAGAACCTGGCAGCGTTTTTCCCTGAGGCAAATCAGACTTTCTGCTGTATTCTGTTCAAGTCTCACAATCCATCACCTCACACCTTTCCCCAGGAAGCTGGGCCAGCGGCTGTTTGTTTGTTTAAAACCTGCAGACTCATGAGCTGGGAGGGAGGCTGGACAGAGTAAAAGAGTTTAATATGCATTTAGCAGAAATTAATGAAGAAGTCCAGAGCTTGGAGGCAGCCAGTTTCGGTTAGTGTTGTTAAATATTAATGAGGTGCTTTTGCTCTTTGGGGCAGAGCAGCACGCTTGATGCACCTTTTTTAATTACTGCAGCGCCAACAGGTAGCAGAGCTGAACAGAACTGCTGAGGATGGTTGCATTTTGCAAAGAGCCTTGAAAACATTTCTATTCTCCCCAAGGCTGCTTAAGAGAAGAATTCTTTGCTTCCAAGATTCCCAGTGTTTTCTAGGGTCAGCAGGACCGGTCAACAGGTTCAGCTCATAAAGCCATAGAGGAGTTTTCTAGATGTAGTATGTGTACACCAGAGCCCAGTATTTCCATGCATAAATAATGTTTGAGAAGTCAATGTTCAGTGGTGTGCTGACAGATGTTTAACTCTTAGGTAACAAGCACCGAAGTCTTGTAATATTCCCACAATGGCCGATTTCAACATTATACCAATGAATGAAGACCTGAGAAGAACTAGGCACTTTATATAGTATCCCTATGAGATAGATACATGGGAATAAAAGTCCTTGAGAACATAAATAATATAACAATATTCATATGTCACTAAGCATAAGTTGTATGTAGTAACACACAGTATGTTAAAGCTATATAAAGCTAGAATACAGTAAAGAAATAAGAAAATACGTCTTTTGTGTATTTTTGCTGACTATTACATATAATTTATGTGAATGAAATGCAATATAACTCAATTTTTAATAATTGCTTTAGCAACCATTAGTTACCTTACAAAATTCCCCACATTTTAAGAGCCAGATTTCACGGGTTATTTCAAGCTATACTAAACCAGACGAGCTATGGGCCAGGGGCTCTTTACTAGTGGGCCAGACACTAGTCAAAGGATTCACCTGGAAGACACCTCTCTTTTGCTTTCCTTTCTTCCAGCTTCACTGAAGCATGGTTTTGTCAAAGCTCCTCTTGCATCCTGCCTTTCCATTGCTTGGGAACCCTGCTCATATACACTCCAGTCATCTTTTGGGTATTTGGACATACTTCCTGCAGTTACTACAGTTAACCCTGCAGTGTCACTGAAGCTTCACGATCTTCTTGCAGAAACAGACACAATGCAGTGGGATAACTAAAGGGCCATGTTCTAGCGCAACTATGACATTTATTCACTCTGTAACATTTGTCATAGATGGTTTAATTGGTGAAAATCAAGGACAGTATGGCTCTTAACATATGGTGGCCCTGAAAATTGTGTACAGTGAACTATGGATAGGCTCACATAACCTAAACATGAAAGAGGAATAAAGAAGAAATAGCAAAACACAGAAGGGACAGTGAGCCACGCCCATAGTATATCATACAAAAGTAGATAAAGTGGGCAAAAGGGCAGCTAGAAGTAGCCGGTGTAGAAGTTACTATGGGATAGTAACGTATGTGAGCTCATCCATCAGTCAGTGCTTCTTTATGCTGTATTAGTTTTGGGGTGTGAGATATCTCCTTAAAGGACTGAAGACACAATTGAGGACAGGTATTGTCACATTTGTTTGGTAGGTCATGACATACAGTGAAGGATATATGAGACCATCATTACAGTGAATACCCTTTTTCCTTCCATTCCTGTCCTGCATTCACTTCTATAATTATATGGTGTTTTCAAGATTAAGGGGTCCAAAAAAAAAAAACTTAACACAGCACAGAGAATGGTTTGCCTTTCTGTCCCATGCTTCCTCCACACTCAGTGAGGAGATATTCTGATGATGAGGTTGGGCAGTCTGGGTTGCAGGGATTTTTATTTATGTTGAATATGCAAGCATGGATGATGGAGAGAGGTTGCTCTCAGTGGGATCCAGCTGACTGTAAGAGCATAATCCCGCCACCCATGCTATTATTCCTATATATTTGACATTTACACATGTAAGCACCTTATAGAACTCCAGAAATAGGGGCATGTTATTCCTCAGATGCTGTGGCTGTTTTTCTGTAGAAGCATAGGAAAGAAACCTAGTTTTATTTTATTTATTAAGAAAGGATAGTTCTCCTATCAAATTAAGAGAAGTTTGAATTTCTATTGGCATACATGTGAATAAACACATACACACACACACATGCACACACACGCGAACACACACACACACACACACCATAATCTTGAAAGCAGTTGAATTGAATTTAAACTAAAATTAATATAAATTCTGTGAAATCAATGTTCAGACAGTACATATTAAATCATTATACATAAAAATGTATCTTGACCTTTAAAGTCATCTCCCTGGTTGTCATTTACTTATTTAATTAATTCTGTGATTCAAAATATGATATAAATGTATAGTGCCCCCAACCCTCACCTCCAAGCAATTGTATCTGCCATATATTTGAATTCATGTACTTTCTAGTCTACATTTTTTTGATAATACATTTTTCTCTCTAGACTGTAATCCTAAATGATAATACCATTTCTAAAAAATGCTATTTTTAAGGCATGGGTATTTGTCTCGTTGAGGTTTATTAAAAATGTGAATTACGACTTTGGGGAGGCAGTGGGCATAAGTATATTTATGTATGTCTTTGGGTGGTTTTAGCGTTTGTACACACATATCATTTTACAATGTTTATTTTCTTGATAGTGATTATGGCTATGAGAGACATGGGGAGAGCCAGTGTGTCCCAGCTTTCTGGTACAACCCAGCTTCCCCCTCAAAGGACTGCAGCCTTGGTCAAAGCTACCTTAATAGCACTGGGTAAGTTGAATACCTGAAGAACTCAACTTGTTCTTTCTCGAAGATGAAATGAAATGAGTGTATCCTTCTTGAAAAAGATGAGTATAGATAGGGTAGGTTTGTGTGCAGAGGCTTCTGAGGGAAGTTGAGGAAATATTTAGCCAAAGATACCTTGACTTGCCTGCCTTACCTTTTGGGCCTCAACTGATGTAAACTGATCTAAGTAGTGTGTAGATGTGACAGGCGTTCCCTGGTGAGAGATCAATGGACATTCTCAAACATTAACACTAGACACATCAAATAAAAATTCACAGCCCTCATCCTAGATACTTCTGGATTAAGAAGATTCAGGACACTTTCAGTAATTGTCTAATTGTTTTTGTGCTCTAACTGTTCACTTAGGAGTTATCCTCAAAAACTTGGCAAAGGTTTTTCTAGAGATACATTGTTTCTCCCTTTTCTTCACTGATTCTTTGACCCATGAAAGGTCTGTAGAGTGGACATGTGGGACTGTGACACACTTCTCATCGTTTGATATGTCTTCTTGTTTTCTGAGGGTCTCTGAGTCAGCTTCTCTTCTGGCTTGCGGGGGGCAGAGGGAAGCTATTTTACCATTAGTAATAATCTCCCTTAGGGGGAGAGAGGAGACTGGTATTCCACACCACTCTCAGAAAAGCAACGACACTCAGTGCCCTGGACTCACTCTCACCCTCTCACCTCTGCAAGTGTTTTTGTCTGCCATCTTAGCCAAGTTACCCAACTTCTTTGACCTTGAGTCTGTGTGGTTGCAAAGAGTAGTATGTACTTATCTAAACGTCTGCCATGGACTAAGGAACAATAAACATGATGGGATGGGTTGATGAGTAGAATGGAATACTTTAAACCCATGACATTTTAAGTTAGTATTGATTCTGGGGGCACTTATTCCTTGACTTCATGCTGGGAATTTCATTCTTTTGATGTAGTGTTCTTTTAATGTAGGAATATGTTTTATAGATTTAACTCATTTAATGAAAATTGAACAATTTCAACTTAAGAAGATGTACTATCGGAGAGGAAGGAGAACATAATGGTCATATGGAATGATCTGCAAAAGCCAGCTCCTAGCCTTGGCATCTTTTAGAAATCATTAGAAATGATTTCTCTTAGGATATCTCATATAATCAGGGGGCATGTTGAGCTAGATCTAATTTTAAGCAAATTATGTATGCCAAAATGGCAAATATCTAAGTAAATAAGTCAGGGAGATAAATATATACTTTCTTCTCCCTCAAAGGATTTCCTATAGAAATGTATTGACACCTCCAGTTTTCATAAGTTTGGTCTATATTATATTACCAACAGTGTTAACGTGGTAGCCAGCCAACAAAGGAAATGGTTGGCATAAAGTTTATCTACGATACAACTAGCTCTAAAGATGCTGATCTTGAGTAAAAACTAAGTATCTACTTGGCATCTTTTAGAAATCATTAGAAATGATTTCTCTTAGGATATCTCATATAATCAGGGGGCATGTTGAGCTAGATCTAATTTTAAGCAAATTATGTATGCCAAAATGGCAAATATCTAAGTAAATAAGTCAGGGAGATAAATATATACTTTCTTCTCCCTCAAAGGATTTCCTATAGAAATGTATTGACACCTCCAGTTTTCATAAGTTTGGTCTATATTATATTACCAACAGTGTTAACATGGTAGCCAGCCAACAAAGGAAATGGTTGGCATAAAGTTTATCTATGATACAACTAGCTCTAAAGATGCTGATCTTGAATAAAAACTAAGTATCTTTAAGTAAAAATGACCAAGAAATATTAACTTAGAAAAATGTATTTTAACTAAATCATTGATGATCAAAAGGACTACAATATGAATCATGTGTATCATTGTAAATTTCTCATCATGTTTAAATACTTGAAGGTGAAAATGATTTTAATACTGTATTTTGTTTGATGTGATATATCATTTCAGTATGCTATAGTAACAACATTTCTAGCCTTTGATAGCAGCTGTCATACTGGAGAGTAAAGATACAGATATAGCTCAGGTGACAGTTGATAATGATGTATTGTAATTTCATTTGAACCAAGAGCTATCTATAGTATTTGGTTTGCATAACTTGGGATCTCTGGAAGAAGATGGAGATGGGGTGGGTGATTCAAAAGTGTGGGATATTATGGAAGAAATGTCAGATGTAATGAAGAACCAGTATAACTAGCTTTTTGAGCTTTGGGTCTTTCAATATCAGACACCATGGATGGATTGATTATTCTTGATACAGAGGATGAAAGAAGGCAAGATTGGTGGCAAGGATGGTGTTGGTGTTGGTGTTAGTAGTGTTGTTATTATTGGTGTTGGTGGTGGTATTGATAGTGATGGTGTTGGTGGTTGTGGTGGTAGTGGTGGTGGTGGTAGTGTTTGTAGTGATGTTGGTGTTGGTTCTGGTAGTGATGGTGGTATTGGTATTGTTGTTGGTAGTGGTGCTGGTGGGGTGTTTGTGGTGGTGGTGGTAGGGGTGGTGGGATGGTGGGGGTGTTGTTGTGGGTGGTGGAATGGTAATGATGGTGGTGACATTGGTGTTGTTACTGTTGGTGGTGGTGGAGATGGTGGTGGTTTGGGTTTTATTGGTGGTATTTGTGTTTGAGATTGTTTTTCCATTGGTGGTGATGTTCATGGTGTTGTTGTTTGTTGGTGGTGTTTATGCTGTTGGTGGTAATGGAGAGAGTGGTAATAGTTTGGCATTTATTTTGTGATTTTTACTTAGAACGCCAGTTTTAGAGATGATGAATATGTCATGGACTTTCTGGAAGTAATATCTCTGTGGCTAGTCAGGTTTCAGGCAAGCTCTTGGGTCAGAGGTCAAGGCAATTGATGTGACATTACTGTACATATAATGCTATTACCATAGAAGTTGGCAGTGTTTTATAGGGAAGTTTCCCAGACTAACCCCTTTTGTAAAATAATCTTATTTTACCAGTGTTGAATAGGAGTTTTAAACCTGTGCTTCTAATGTGACATTTGGATTGAGGAGGAAATAATGATTTAGCAAGTGGGGAAGATGTGTTATAAAATAGCCTAGTGGCTCCAGAATCAAAGTTATCATTGTTATTTTTTTTAATTTGTATTAGACATTCCACTAATGATATCCTGAGATCCCGTGGAGTTAGGGAGAAGCCATTTGATTATGGAGACTTAGAAGTTGGTGTTTAGCTGCTTCCTGGTACAGAGAAATTTGGAGGCAGCCCTGGGGAAATTGAATAGGCTCTATCTGACAGAGGTGGCTGGCTTTCCTGCTTCACCAGCCCAGTGCCCGCCTCCTCTTCTGCTGTGTGGGAGCCAGCATTGATTTTTCTTGGCTGGTTTAGACACTGATCCAATCCCTGGTGCACTAGGTGGGATCAATAATAATGTTTAAGAGGCTAGCCTTCCTGAGGTGGAGGGATAGCAGCTCATGGGGATTGTTTGTCTTTGTGAATAGCTGTAGTTTTGGAGACTTGGCTTTTAAGACCAACTGTGAGAAGTTATTTTTGTTGCTTCTTCTATCTTGCCCTCCCTTCCTAACACAAGCATACACACACATGCACACACAAAGATATGCATACACACACACACACACACACACACACACACACACACACACACTGTAAGCTTCAGCATTGTCAAAACTGTCTTTCGTCAAATCTCTTTAGGTACAGGAGGATTGTGTCCAACAACTGCACAGATGGGTTAAGAGATAAGTACTCTGCTAAGACTCAGCTGTGTCCAGGAAAAGCTCCTCGGGGCCTCCACGTGGTAACCACTGATGGGCGCCTGGTGGCAGAGCAGGGCCATAATGCAACCTTCATCATTCTAATGGAAGAGGTAGGTGACCCCTTGGGTGTCTGCAGTCAGAACCTGCATGCGGACAATTCCTTGCTCTCAGAAAAAAAGAGGGAAACAGAGATATATCATTCTCACTAGCAGAAATGTCAAGAGTGAGAGGAAAAGAAGAAGGAAGTAATACCAGTTCAGAAACACCCTCCATTCATTTGTAATAAAGACTGTTCACAGAGCCTCTGTAAGAGAGTGCTTGCTTGCTCACTCATTCTTCCTTTAACCTCCCCCTTGCCCACCTCCCTCCAATGCCCCCAATTTTGGGAATAGAGCTCAAGACCTTAGTTCTGAACTATAGCCCCAGCCCTTAGGTTTTTGAGACAGTCTCACCTTGACTCTTTAGACATAATGACTCACTATGTAGCCCAGGCCAGATTTGAACTCACAGTGTAGCCCATGCTCCGAAACTTGTGTTCCATGTGCTTCTACCTCTTGAGCACTGGGATTTAATCTTGTGCCATTATGACTTACCTGGATACATTCTTTTCACCTTAAGCATATAACCTGTAAACCATGAAAGAGAAACAAAAGGAAATTTTGAAACAAAACAAAAGTATAGCTATCGACTTTCAGAACCTTTCTCACTTTATTCTAACCCTTGGCACCACTAATTAGAAGAGCCCACAGCTTTAAAGAATCTTGAACATGTGAATGAGAGGGTGAGGAAGATGAATGAAATAGTGTTTAAAGTTTGTATAGAACAAAGCACTGGTTGTTTTCACATCAGCTACCGACTTCATTACCTCCTTGCTTCGTGTCTTTTGCAATCTAGGCAGTTAAATCTGAGTGTGTGCTGCTACTCCAGACCACTTATCTGTGAGATGTTACTTCTACCCAAACCAGGGATTTTCCTAGCACTCTTTGCTGGACTGATAGAGCTGGAAGGCTTGCCTGATTGACAATGCCCTCTAAATTTATATGCAAATTGCTTGGGGGCTCTTGAGATCATTGAAAGGGAGCAAAGCAAGCCAGGAGATTTTTCTCACTGGTCTGAACACTTCTGAGCCTTTAAAATCGAGAATGCACTGTGAAGGATGGTGCATGCTTCTTATCCTGGCCTGGCAGACTCCCCAACCTTCACTCACATTGATACTTGAATTAGAGGACTTTGAGATTCAGAGGGGTTCATTATCAGAGTTCCACTAGAGAGTTTTCAGGACCAGAGCTATAAAAACTTTCTCAAATGGATGTGAAGAGCCACGATCTTATCAATTTCAATTGCCTCCAGTTCATTTCCACTTTAATTTACATTTTTAAACTCAAGGGTAGTTGACATTGTATGAGGGTCAAGAGAGCACCCATCAGTATTTCACTCACATCTATGTTGCCAGGGTGGGAGAGACATAAGCGACAGCATGACCAATGCACAGTCTTGGGGCAGAGGTTTCGGCTTATGCATTCATCAGAGGTTTGTTTCCAAAAGAGGAAAGATTTTTGGTTCACAAATTCAGCAAGTTCAGTCCGTAGTCTCTGGTTGCCCATGTTCATAGTTGAGGGGTCTGTTGGAAGAGCTTTCTCTCTCAAGGTGAAAAAGGAGAGAGAGAAAGAGAGAACACAGAGCAAGAGAGAGCAAGAATGGGTATGCAACCATGAGCAAGAACCAGTGTGTGTGAGAGAGAGAGACAGAGACTGAGAGACAAACACAGAGACATAGAGACAGACACACACACAGAGAAAGACACACAGAGGAAGACAGAGACAGAGAGAGATTTAGGTCCAGTTTCCTAAAGTAGGCAGAAGTTTCTGACCTGCCTGGTCCCACAGCTGTTTAGTCCCAAATAAACACACAGAGGCTTATATTAACCATAAACTGTTTGGCTGATGGCTCAGGCTTCTTATTGTCTAGCTCTCTCTTAATTATTAACCCATTTCTATTAATCCATGTATCTCCACAAGATCTTGGTTTATGGAGAATGTCCACGCGTCCTACCTTCCCTGTAGCTACATGGTGTCTCTCTCTTCACTCACTATGCATCCCTCTTCCCAGCATTTTCCTCGTCTGATAGCCCTGCCTATACCTCCTGCCTGGCTACATCCTGCCTGTCCATTGGCCAAAGCAGCTTTATTTATCAGTCAATAAGAGAAGCATATTCACAGCATACAGAAGGACATCCCCCATCACTAAAGTTTTTAAAACATTGCACACTGGCATGTTTAGCTGAGTACCAACTCTAACACACAAAGTTTTCTAAGGGAAACTTCATATCCAAACCTTGTCTGTTAATAATTCCTGAATAAAATTCTTTCTTCATTCCATCTTTTATCTCATTATATAAACAGATTTTTTAATTGAATTTTTATAAAAATATAATTTTACATGTCAATCCCACCTCCCTCTTCCCCTCCCCCCAATCCCCCACCAGCCCCTTGCCCCACACTCCCCATGGAGGGTAGGGCCCTCCATGGGGCTCCCCAAGTTCTACAACGTCATCCTGGGCCTGGCCTAGGCACTGCGCCATATGTCCAGGCCTAGTCCCTTCATGTGGGATGGGCTCTCAAAGTTCCTTCTTACACCAGGGAAAAATACTGATCCACTACCAGAGGCCCCATAGGGAACTGAGGCCTCCTTGTTGACATCCACTTTCAGGGGGATTTGGATCAGTCCCATGATGGCCTCCCATCTTTATTTTGTGGTCTACATTATTTATTTACCCAAAGTTTTGATCCAGTATGGGGTATATAATGAGGATAGGGTTCAACATTGCCTTGAGATGCTAACAGCTTGGGGTGCTGGTGCACTCACTTGATCTACTGGATATCATGTCAGAGGCAATATCCAAAGTGTGCTTGGACTTCCAAGAAGCCAAGACATCTGTGGGCTCACACACTTAGCAGAAGCTTTGGGAGAGAGGATGGCTTAAGTAGGTTTCAGGAAACCCTAGGCAAGAAAAAAAAAGTAATTTAGATAGCATGCAGTATTCATCTCTGGAATGGAAATAATTATCTGCCCTCATTGTTATTTTGAAGAAGGTGTTTAATACACATTAATTGACTAGCATAGCTCTTAAATTAAATAACAGACATATAAAAATAAGAATAATGGAAATTATGGCATGGTTATTAAAGGAATTAGTCTTTATTCAAAACTTGGTTCTCCCTGCTGTTAGCTGTGTGACCATTAATGTAGGTAAGATTTACTCCCACTTTAAAAGTGAGGACAGTAATACTTTCTACTGCTATCAGAAAGTAATACTTCATCTTACTTCTTCCTACTTCTTACCTCCCCCTGGTTGTTCATACATACATAGATCACATGGAGAAATGGGCACAAAGCTCACATAAAAACTTTCTGCAACATAAAGTTGAGGGGACTAACTGTTTGGCTTGTTATGAAACTATGGAACATGCTAAGTATTTCTTAATTGCTATTACTGTCATGGACAGAAGAAGACTTAAGACATGTTTGTGAGGGGTCCAAACTTGGTACTTGGTATTGCCATTTTAGAACTTTGGATATCCTCTTCCTTACTGGTTTTGCCACAGTCCTACCAAATCGTGCGACCCCAAGGTTGGACATGCAGGTCCTCAGCCCTTGCTCACAGCTCTTCGTGAATATTAACTTGTGCTAAGGAGACAACACTGTAGGTTTTTCAGGGTTGAAATGTTGAAGCTGTGAGAATTAGTATCAAATAAAAGTCTAACAGAATCTTGTGAAGGGAACCAGACCAATTTCTATTCCCTTGCAGGGTGACCTTCAAAGGACGAACATCCAGCTTGACTTTGGGGACGGGATTGCTGTGTCCTATGCCAACTTCAGCCCCATTGAGGATGGCATCAAGCATGTGTATAAGAGTGCAGGGATCTTCCAGGTGACAGCCTATGCAGAGAACAACCTGGGTTCTGATACAGCCGTGCTCTTCTTACACGTGGTTTGTAAGTAGCAATGATGAGCAGTCTCCCTGACCTCTGTCCCTTTCTTCCCAATCAGAAACTCCGTTTGTCCTGATTTCACTTTCTAGAGTTCAGAGCTCAAGCCAGGTTCATTGTGGCTCCTAAAGTCATCCTAGTCAAGACACTGACTGCACATTCATTGATAATGTAATTTCATGGTGCTGAACTCGATTGCATATTTTAAATCTATAGGGAACATTACCAAGGCTCTTTACTTTGTAGCACCCTTCTGATAGGCTGGTACATATAAGAGTGCACATGCATACTTACATGCAGATAAAACGTTTTTCCTCTTTGCTTTAGAGATTCCTGAAAAGTAAATAAGAATGGATGCCCATCTAGTTGATGGTCCTAGGTTCATTTATCCCACTAAATGTTTGGCTCTGTTGGAGGATTTAAAAAGCATGCGTTTCAATTGCTTTCAAGAATTGAACATGTTTTAAAAACAAACTTCATATATCCAAGGTTATTCCACATCCATTATTTTGTAAATACAATTTTGTGTTGTGCTGTAGTTGGTTTCAATAACACTGGCTGCTGCTGGGGGGGAACAGAAACTAAGATGCTGGGTTTTTTTTTTTGTTTTTTGTTTTTTGTTTTTTTTTTGAGCTGGATGCTTTTCATGTATTATCTATCCTGAAACTTGAATCATGTTAACTGAAACATGAACAATATTGTGTCTAGGTGTGAGTTAAGGGAATGTTGATGTGGGCTGACACCACACCTCATCAGCCATACATGGGGGTTTAAAGACGTCTCTAGTCTTTATTTTAGCAAAAGCTTTACCACTACCCATGATGAAAGTATTCCAAGATTCAAAGAATCCTTAAAACCACAAGTTGTATCATACGCTGATTATACCATTTGTTTTCTAAAGATAATATGCAACATATATGCATATATTTGTCATATACATTGAAAAATTATGTCATGTCAGCACAACATTTAATCATGATATTCAAAACAATATACATTTGAAAACTTAGGGTTTTTTTTTTTACTTTGGTATTTTCCATTTAATAATTTCAAGCTATAATTGGTTCTGGGTAAATGAAATTGAGCCAGATTAAAATGGATCAGCAGGGACTGCTGTTATCAAATGAAAATTGCATGTTTGAAAGAGTTTAAGTGAAAAAGAGAAACTCCATTCCTATTAATAACCAGTGATTGTGTAAACTCTTGTATGTACATACCACATTCCTAAAAGGCTCCTGGAAAATAGTGAGCTGTTTGATCTCTTGGTGAAATGAAAAACAGTGGCATATAATTAGAATGTATAGGAAGTAACCTGGACCATAGATCAGTTATGTCTCTATAATGCCAATCTGAATACCTCTAGATTAATTCCAGTTGTAAAACGGCTTAAGTCGAAGCTCTGCTTGGCCTCACAGGGTTTGGGGACCAATAGAAATGAACTACACAGGAAATGCCTAACCTCTCATGAAGTCATTCAGGAAATATTTATTGGGTTCTTAATGTGTGTGTGGGACTTTACCAGGCACTTAGAGAGTCATCAATGCAAGTGTGACCCTACCCTCGTGTTATTTTCATCCTATTGAAGAGGAGCTATTTTTAAAAATGTGCCCTAAGTAGACTTGGTGATGAGGATCCATATATACCCAATGCAGTCTCTTCTGGCAGCACCTGATTAGGAGCCGATACGAGTGGTGTGCACCTTATTTGAAAGCTCAGGCTTTGGACTGTTTGAGCGCACTGATTTCTTTTGAATACTTAATATGTCCAACCTGCTCAGCCCTTACAAAACTTGAATTACTCATCTTATCTCTTAGATTATAAGGAAGCTATGGGTATAAAAGTGGGTAATGTATATGCCAGGGAAACCCAAGACCACTCCTAAGCATGGTAACTCTCTAGGAGGAAACATAGAGGTTAGCACGTGACCTCATCCTTGACTCTCGTTTGTTCCAGAGAAAACATTCAGAGCAAGCTCAGCAAAGGAAAGTCTTGAGCTGGAGAGATGGATCAGTCAGTAAAGTTTCCCTGCCAAGCAAACATCAGGGTCTGAGTTTAGATTCCAAGAACCCCTATAATGCTTGTG